GGGCGAGGTGGATCAAGTGGTTAGAGTGCGAATTTACTGACCGGAAGGTCTGTGGTTCGAACCCGACCTCAGCCTCTCGACTTCTCCTGCCTAAGTTTGGGCGACCTGACAGTATCCCGGCCCTCATGCTTCCTTCGGGGAGCTTAGCAGCTAGGCATCGGAAGGGTGTTACAGCTGACCGACTTATTAATGGAAGCATATAAGATGGTGTCCGACAAAAGTGATTGTGAATTTCAGACCCAACTTAGTCAGGTACCAATAGATTGGCGCAAATGTTTGCCGTGTAATACCTCGGCAGGGTATTTGTTGCGCATTCCTATGAACCAGCTATGCAATGACTCACTGTTAAACCCTCTTCTTTTCGGATAAATGATAAACTGGATTGATTTGTCGTCCTTTCAAACGCAGGTTTGGTGTCAAATGTTGAACATTTTCCGTAAAAAGATCTCGTGGAAAGTGTCTTGGTAATACAGGACAAATCACTAGCCATTAATTTTATATGAAACCCAGCAACACACTGTTCTTGTGGCCGAATGCTAACCTGTCCAGCTGATAACTGGCAGGTAGTGGGTTCGGACACTCCCACAGGTTTGTGAAGGGTGGACTTCTGATACACTTTGATACTCTGATGCTTTCCGGTGCATACCGACATCATCAACAGTTCAAATCCTATGAAAAGCTGGAATTTTTATCGTTATGTTTGTTTGGTCGAGATGGCCCAAATGGTTGGAGCGCGAACTTAATGACCAAAAAGGTCCGTGGTTCGGACCCGACCTCTCTCTCTCGACTTCCCCTGTCTAGGCTTGGGCAACCTTGGATACATCGAATATACTCTGATTGGCCAGAGGAGTTTCCTTACGTAAATCCGAGCCATTTTAATAAGACTTAACCGCTAAACCTGAGCACAGCTGGAGGAACTGTGCTTTCAGTTAACTTGTCATTCTATCCGTTGCATCGTCCTCTACCTACTGGAGAGAATGATATAAACTGAATCCGTCAATCAGACATAGCACTGCTTCGAAGATTTGTGGTCGTTCAACTAGCATGTAGTTAATTTTCACTGACAATCGATCGACCTCGCTGTAGATTAACGCCGTCCAACGAGTCTGCAACGGAGTCGAGGAGACCCTGTGCACCGTCAGCTCAACTTCGATTGTGGAATCGGTAGTCCAAGTGGCCACAACAAGCAGCTTTCCCGTATGCCATTGCAACCAGTTCTTGTCTAGCGCAGCTGCCTTGTCGATCGACTCTGACTCAATGCTTGTGACATTTTGACATAAGTGACTGCCTACGCATCTACAGGTGCGCAGAAATGGATGTAGCACTGCTTCGAAGATTTGTGGTCGTTCAACTAGCATGTAGTTAATTTTCACTGACAATCGATCGACCTCGCTGTAGATTAACGCCGTCCAACGAGTCTGCAACGGAGTCGAGGAGACCCTGTGCACCGTCAGCTCAACTTCGATTGTGGAATCGGTAGTCCAAGTGGCCACAACAAGCAGCTTTCCCGTATGCCACTGCAACCAGTTATTGTCTAGCGCAGCTGCCTTGTCGATCGGCCCTGACTCAATGCTCGTGACATTTTGACATAAGTAATTGCGTACGCATCTACAGGTGCGCAGAAATGGATGTCTTTCTACGCGGGAAGTATGCCTTAACAGTAGACATCTTGTCCCAGTTCACCACTCGCGAATACCGTTTTCATTCCCGGATAAGATAACTTTAAGTTCCGTAGAACGTCGTACCACGGGCACTGAAGTTCTTTTATAGAAAAGTCGAATGCTTATTGGTTTGAAGACGTGCAGTAAACATCTTTGAGACTTTTGTGAAGACGAGCAGTCGGGACAAAATTAACCTATTTCAAGTACTCATCTTGAGAGCAAAAAGTCAACCAGGTTTTGCTGCCATTGCGGATAAAAGCGTGCGGACAATAATGACCTCATATTCTTATGAAGATTTTAATGAAGTAGACTAGTCTGTCCCTGCATCTTACTTAGCGGCACATAGTGATGTATGGTTTGATGGCTACTGCTTTTGAAACTTTCATGTGTAATTGTTCTTTTCTGTTTATTTTAATCTGGTCAATTTCTGACGCAGGTCGCCAGACTCTTAAATGGATGGATGCGGCTGAAGTGAAACTGGAAGACGTATACCTATCTGCAAATCTGGCCTTGCAGTCAAACAAATGCTATGAATGTCGACGGATCCTGAGCAAGTCTGCCGGACACGAGCTGGAACCGGAGAGTGACGTCAAAGGAGTCGATGGCACCAAAGAGGCTCACTCCAACCATCAGCTGCCCAAGTCTATCGGGAAGGCAGTAGTGCACAAAATAACGAAAGTGCACTCACATAAACAGACGGGAATGAAAAAGAACGACTCGAGTCACTCCTTGAACGCGCCGACGGAAATACGCGTCTGTCACGTGACTGGGCGGTACTATTGCGATAACTGCCACTGGGATGACCAGTGGTACATACCTGGATCAATAGTCCTTTTAAATGATACCAGTAAACAGCCGGTAGGTTTCTACCTGATTCCGAACTGCATCTCAGTAACTTTCAATTTTACTTGGATGAGCTTCTTGGGTGTTTGTCCTCCCTCATTAGGTATTCGTTCATAGTCATACAAATACTAGGGCGTCGTAATTTCCTCTGAATTCGATATTATCAGTTAGATCTTTAGTGAGTCGGTTGGTGGTTCCCATATACCGGATGGATGTTCTATGAGCCGATCTATCGAGGAGGCGTGGTCTCAGTCACAAGTAGGTACTTGAAATTCACTTGTGTTTACTCGCACTTTTATCCCACGGATTGGATGACGTTTTGTAGCCATATCAGTGAATCCATTAAACGAGCCAGACGTTAACGCCGTCGAGGCATCCAAGGACTTCACTTGTCAGTTTAACCACCGAAAAGATCACCCGGATTTCTTAAATGGCTTCAAGACTGAAGTCTTCTAGGTTGGGAATGTAGGTTTCTAAACTCCTGATAGTATACCTCTTCGAAGTGGATACATACTACTAAACAAAGCCAAAACTCAGTTTTGCTTTGGAGCAACTATATTACTGATGATCGGATTCTGTCCGCATCATGGGGGGCTATCAGACCGTTGTAATTTGTCTGGTTGAGCTACTTATGTTGTGACAGTACGAGCATTTACGTCATATATTATCCTGTGAATAGAAACAGAATCGGCAGGAACTTCTATCGTCATGAGCGATACTATTTTGCTGTGGTTCTACCCGGTTCGGATGACCGAGGTAGTGCCGCAAGTAATCGGCCCTCAGTTCGTACTGAGAGGGTGAATAAGGTTTCGCCTTCAATGGTGACACTGGCTTCACTTGTACATAAAAAGAAAACGGTTATAAAATATTGATTACTTTTGCTTAAACATATCTCGCACTTATCGAAGAGGAAAGTAGAAGGACTTGAAAATACAAAAGACTGATTTTCTGACGTTGATATCTGCCCGACACATTTTTAGGTATGCCGGTCCGCTTACCTGCGCCTCCGAGTCCTCTGGGATTCCGCAATCATCAAAATACCAAAATACTGGCACGAGGAGAATGAAAAGGCCAGCGAAGTCTTTGCCATACGGTCCAAATTCAGTCAGCTTTTGCCTTTCACCCACATCTGCACCACTGCCTCCGCAATCAAGGAATACTCAGAGGTACGTGCGCAACCCTAAGCTCTGGTAGCGAGATATTTTCACCCAAAGTACCATCTTTCTCAAATATATCGCGTGCCGCGGATTAATAAAAGATCCCAAATCTTGCGCGGACCGTGGCCGTCTGGGACATAAATACTGAGATACAACTGCCCCACCCTCGCCAATAGAAGGTTCGCGTGGATGCCTTTGCGTCTTGATTTCATGCTCCACAAAGCCAAAACCGATACTCATTTAGACTAAGATTTCCAAGTTGCAGCGTATCAAGCCTAGGAGTTTTTCGTGACAAAAATTGCTTTCAGGTGGTAACACTGCATCAAACGGAGCCAAACGTCATGGACAGCTCAACATTGGTTTTGCCCTCCCATGAACCTGTCTCTCGGGCCTGTTCTCAAAACTCCGTTGTTTTCATATTAATTTATGAAAATTTGTACAAGGCAGATTCCGTTAAAATGTGGTTGGGTCCCCGTTAGGACCGCCCTAATATTCAATGAATTAAAGTTGCCAAAGTTTCATCATGTTTCTGGAAATATGGAGCTATAAAATTTTGCCCAAAGCGCCGGAGCAGCACAGTAGTACGGCGGGGGCGAGATGGCCCATGTGATTATAGAACGAATTTACTGACCGCCAGGTCCGTGGTTTGAACCCGACCTCTGTCTCTCGACTTCCTCTGTCTAGGCTTGGACAACCTGGCATTATCCTAGCCCTCGTGCAACCTTCGGGTTGCATGGCAGTTAGACACCGAAGGAGTGCTACAGTTGAACACAGTAGGACATCTTGCCGAATCCTATGCATGACACAAGGAACACAAGATTGGTTGTCCATGTGACAGTATATCGGGTTTCTACTATAAACACACGACTGAATTGTGCTTCCCTCTTGGTAGTTCCAACCATTAAAAAAACCTTAGATTACGGCAGAATTCTACTATTTCATCTTTAGATAATCGTGCTTGCAGAAATAGCCACGTTCATATAAACCTATCATTCCTTTTTCATGAAATAGACAAACCTCTTGTCCGTTAAAAGTTTTGGGAAATCTTCCCCCCTATACGTTTGATTTTATGTACAAACCACTAGTCACTTGCAACCGCGTCAATATCCATATTAAGGGGAATTTCGAGTTGTTGAAAATCCTTTGGTGGGACTGCAGTTGATGACTTCATCTCTTTTGGGGAAAAATTGCTCAAACTACTTTTAAGCAGCAAGCTGGACGAAGCGGTCTTGTGAAGCCCAGTTTGAGGATCTCTGGTTTTGATTTTTAGGATGGAGCGCTGTGTGGTCTTCAAATCGGACCCGAAATGCGGGATAGCTTGTCACGAAATGTTATTTTATCGCAACGGAAAGAACTGGAATTTAGTGAGCTTTCATCTCACAGTATGTTACCGTGTTATACTCTTTAAGCCGGCTTTGTAAGCTTCGATCCAAGTACCCGTTGCAACGTGATTGGACGAATGGTACTTACTTGTACTCTTGGCTACATCACAAATAATCGGTACTGGCTCTGGTACGGTAAAAATCCTCTCATAGCCCTCGAAACTGATCTGTTTTAATGACAATGACTACAAAATCGGCTGTTTATTGTGAATAGTCCGATTAACCTGTAACCAACGGTTTCCGTTCAACCGCCTTGTGGTGAGCGGCTCGCTATAGCTCAATAGAGCTCGAAAGGGTTCGGTAGTTAAAATGGAAACCTAATAACCAGATGATTCATGGTTCGAACCCAACACGGAAATCTCGACTGATCTTGTCTAGGCTTGGGTAAACTGGCAGCCCTCGTGATTCCTCTGAGGGGATGGCAGCTATGCGCCGGCAGTGTTTACAACTGGTCTGTTATTTTTTGCGGTGGCCACGGTTGTGTCTCTACCAAATTATGAGTTGAAGACGGAAAAGTAGAGGCGCCCTGTTTAGTTTCCGCCAGAACAACTTTCACATCTACCCAGCGAAGTCGGTAATACCATGTGCAGTAGAAAGCCAGGCTATATTCTGTTCCTAATTTGGCACTGTCGTGTTCATTCTGTGCGTTTGCTACTCCAGACGGCTGTGAACACCAGAGCTTAAAAAATTTCGCTGGTCTCAGAGTGACAGATATAAACTAACTTAGTTAAAGGCGTGTTGTTTCCTAGAGATCAGTAATAACTGTGCAAGTGCAGAATCAGCCAACAACCCAGTATTCAAAGCGGTGACTTGTGATGTACTTTTCGGTCGTGCGAGTGCAGTGCATAGTCCACTACAATTTACTACTGAATTCGCAAATCACAGGTGGAAAGACGTCAGGTAACTGCGCCTGCATTCATGTTGCAACTCAAGCAACTGGGATAGATGCACACTGAAGAGTACTCTTCTGCTGGCCTTTTCGATTAGCATTAAGTAGCGTTCGCAGAGTTCAGATTCCGATCCTCTGAAGCCGAGAAATTATATGCCTGACTCAACATGCGTTCACCTGATCGGGACCACAGGACACGAATAAGACTGTTGTTCCTTATAATTGTGAAAATTCTCAAAAGCGGGCTTCTGGAAAGACATCCGGGTTGGCATTGCCAACTCTGTTGAAAATAAAACATGAGCTTTGCTTACCCGCTTTCCAGTGGATATTTTGTTCTGGTAAAAAAAACCCTCTAGAAATCGACAAATGCTCTCATTTGTACACAAAATTGATTTTGACAGGAGATTCAAATGAGTCAAACTGAATTATGGTGGTCCACTTCAACTGATTGTAGTGCACCAAGCCGAAGAATTTTCGGCAAACTTATTAGTAGTATGTCACGCCTGGGGTACCATTGGAAAATTTCAGGCGGAAGAAAAATGACATGCCTTGTGATTTTACCAAATTTACTGCCGTAGTGAAAGCTGTCAACGTAGCGTAACAGTGAATTACTGGTGTCCAGTGTTAAACGCATAACTTCCTTTAGCCTAAATTGACTTTTGAAAACCAAAGCCTTAAAGAATCAGAGAATTTCAATCTCAGAAACCCTTTCCCCAGAACATTTGTTCGCACGGCGGTCTAATACTACCGTTTTCGTTGATGTGTGTACATTGCCTGTGCGTCCGAAAGTACACCTCTTGGTACTCTCCTTAAAACACAACTGTTTATAAGGTTGCTGAAAATTATTCGATGGCCCACTATCGGTTCTCTCCTTCTTGGGACTCATTCTGTAAGCGCATTCTCCGTTTTCACTAACAAGATACACAGTTAAGATTTCGTCGCATCGCCACTTTGCACAAGAGTGCATTTGGCCATATCCTCACGCACACGGTGACAAGGTGACCGAGCTACCTTATAGCTATTGTAACCAACGTCGAAATCTTGCCTGACGATCCGCATATAGTATCTTGTCATAAGAAAACGATTACTCGTATATATTCCTTGTGTCAGTTACTACTTAGCGTATGCATCAGTGTTCCTCTCGTTGCACACTGTTTATGTTGGTAATTCTATCCGTTTCCTTCTAGTTGTGCGAACCCGCACACTTGTTCGGTAATCCACAATATTTGCGGATGTGTGATGTTATTGATGTCCTAAACGATACAATGGCCCCTCGACTTCAAGAGCACTTGGACAAGTGGATGGCGCATGTCAAGTCCTGTGAAGTAAGCATATTACGCTTCCTGTAGTCTTTCCCCACGAACAGCCATGCTCAAAGATGAATTCTCCTGGTGACTGAACCAGTGTGTTGGCTGTGCTCATCCAAACTGTAATGCATGGCTATCCATGCTTCAGATTTTTCACTAAATTGTTTGTGACCTTTGTAGATACTTTGCATGATGTCTTGATGTACGACCACAGAATAGTATCATCCGAGCAGGACAGAATCGTGATTGTTGACATATCAATGGCAGAGACGGTAGTTCCTAGAAAACGCACAACAGCACAGTAAAAATTTTCGTGATCCGTTTGGACGTTCACAGACCCACCATTCAGAGAATCAAGATGCCTAGTTTCTACGAATTTCAGTTGCTTGAATATGGTTTCATGAGTCAGGTGTGTCACACTGAACCACCTGACAAGTGAGGCACCCACAACATTCCCTTTCTTCAGTAGCTGTTTGAATAGCTGCAGCCAACACCCGCGTGTTAGTATTTTCAAGACAATTAGTAGCTCAGTTCATAAGTAACCTTGTGAACCTGAGAATGATTGTCATAAGTGGCACGGTTTCTTCTCACAAGTATGACAGGTAACCCTAACAATACTTCTTGATAACAACAAGTGCCCGGAATCCTCGAATGGGCCGACATGAGGACAGAACCTGTCAGCGTGATTTCGGCAAATTCCCCGTGCATGCTGAAAGACTTAGTGAATTGGCGACCATCAACCAAGTGATTGTTAACAGTTCACACCCTCTGAATAGGTATCTGATAGAATATGTATGTATTTAATTGCTGCATAAAACTTTGACTTCATGACGCGAAGGTTGCAGTTCCTTCACAGACACAGGAAATGCAAGAGCTGCAGACTGGAACGCTTGTTCCTGTAGAACTCACACTCCACACGACTACGGGAAATGAGTAATCACATGACCTATTAGTCGTCCTGAACCTTCAACCAGCTGATAAGCTCATACTGGTCCTGATCAGGCCAAAAACTGGCTTGGTATTGATATAGATCGGTGGATAACGGTGAAAGTTTCATTTTCAACCTCTAACCTCTCTATAAGTCACTGTACATAGTATGCAGAACAAAGAGTGTTCCCCCATGCAATTCACCAATGCAGTCAGTCCCGTAAGAAGTTGATAAAGCAGTCAGCCCGACCTATATTATCGCTGTGTGGAACAAACATCTGCCCCATAGCAGACTTTAGGATACCGCCGTAATGCTTCGATGATTTGCCAAGGTGCACATCAAGCTGTGTTTGGGCGTGTCGTCTGTGAATTGTTCTGGACACTTCTAGCCGACAGCCTGAACACAAAGCCCGTAATGCAATTCACTACTAACCAATTAAAGCCAGCGTCCGATTATATACCGAAGAATGCTGAAATAATTCTACCCACGTCAGAGTAAACCAGTCACATAATCTCGTTGGACGACAATCTGAGAGAGCAGTAATGGATGGGAGCTCGACACTGCTCAACGGGTAGGTCCATGGTTCGAACCCAACGTCGGCATGCCCACTGCTCCTGTTTAGGCTTGAGCAAATTGGAACTATCCCGGGCATGGCAGCTGTGGATACACTGAGCGTTGGAGCTGAACGATTATTTTTGTCATTAGCATTACACTCCTGAAGCTGACTCATCCCTGTCCAAAAGAAAATCTAAAAGGAAATGTTAAGTAAACCGGGGAGACAAACAGATTTGTCTGAGGTGAGTTCATACCCAGCAACTACAGGCTGCTCGGAAATACTGTGGCTAAATTTGAGAATATTGAATGATACGTTGTAACTCACGTATCTACAAACTAATCCAATGATGGGTGGCTTTCATGGCCATCTTTTTTCAGGAATTAGATAGTTTGATGGATATAAAGCGTCTAGGTTGGTGAACGAGCTGTCTGATCAACGTTGTCTCGAGATGGCCTAAGTGGCTAGAGCGCGTGGATTTGCTGACCGGAAAGTTTGTGGTTCGAACCCAACCTCTGCCTCTCAACTTCCCCTATCTAGATGTGGGCACTATCCCGGCCCTCGTGCTCCTTTTGCGTGGCACGGCAGCTAGGCACCGGAAGGGTGTTGCAGCTGAATGATTATCTATTTTTAGCGTCGTATTCTGTAGCTGAAAATGCATGCTGTTGAACTCAGAGGTTATGTTTTTCACATACGATTGCCCGTAAGTGTGTCTGTTCTCATCACGTAGACAAGTTGTTGTAATAAATCGGTCGAGTGAAAAAACATGCGTTCAGCTCTGACTTTCTTTTTTAATGCCTACCTGATATGGCACTTGAAGGAAGCACGAGAGCCGGGAAGTTGTCAGTTTGCCCAAGCCTAGACAGGGGAAGTTGAGATGCAGAGGTTGGGTTCGAACTACAGACCTTCTGGGCAATAAATTCGCGCTCTAATCACTCATCCATATCACCCTCGAACATCATTTGAGGCCAATCTGAACGAGTATGCTACATGAGTGGATATGGAAATTTTCTGGGAGAAGTTCAAACGTGGTGACGCGACAGGTGTTTTTTACAGGTAAAAACGGTTAATAAGCTATAAATAAATAAATAAATTTTATCTGAGTGTACATATTCTGGAAACATATTTCGAAATTATAGTTGCTCTTATTTGCTATGAGCCAAAGAACGCTTGGTAAAAATGGTGCCTGTTTTGCGCGACGCAAGACGAAATTTATAAATATCGCATCCTTTAAAAATTGTGCGAATAATGAAGGTACATTTTTTCACTTTCCAGAAATGCTTGGAAGCGAAAAATTACTTCGGAGACCGAAATAGGCGTGGATCTAATATAATCTGGCTGGTGAGTGGTTTGTGTTAGTAACGAGCTTGTTTGTTGCGAGATTCCATATGGACTTCATTTTTGTTTACATGAGTACGTACGTCTTGGTTAGATGCCAATGCAATAAAAGGCTCCAAATCTCAAAACTTGCAATATACCGGTGAAGGAAAGAAAGTTTTCGCCACGGAGCTGTTTGTTGAAGAAACACTCATAACTCAAAACTCTCATATGTATCTTGTTTACAAAAACTAAATATCCATCTTTTCCGTGAACGCGTCTTCCTGAAAGTTCCAAGACATTCATTGACTGTTAATGCAAGCAAAAGCTTCAAAGCGGTTCCTTAAACTCCGTAATAGATCCCACTCTTCAAGAGACGCAAAGCGGACTTACGAGATAACATATAACTTGCCCCATCAGTAGTATCCACCGTTACACCGGTAGAAAACCGAAGATCGACATGATTTGACGATGAACGTGTACTCACATTACATGCACGCTAATGAGTAGCGAATCTGTTAATCGAGGTTAGAGCATGGAGGTCTTATTTAAAATGGATTTAAATGACGGAAAGAACGAACACCGCCTCACCAAAGTCAGTGTGACTTCCCTAAATCTACTTTCACACAACGCGGGGCGACAGAATCACAGGGCGACAAAACCGGCACGGTAGAATCTAGTCACAGTCATCAACGAAACCCTTTCATGTCCTCGGCGGTAACCAGGAGTCTAGTGTTCACCTACCCCCGTGGTATTCGCATAGCTTCCGTATATCTCTGGTTACTGAAACATGGAATCCCTTAAGCATCATCCCCCAGACTTATACATCCGAATGCGGTATTTCGGCAGTCAGTCCTCTCCGGCCAGCGCAAGCTGCGCCCCCATTGTTAAAGGCGAATCGTTTCTTGTATGCTTCTTCTGAAAACCGTACAGTTATGCCACAATTTGAGCTGTAGAATGTGTTCCTTCAGCCAGTGGGGGCGGGGTCAAATGTTGATAGCCCTCCTTTGACCCTGACATCAATGCCTGTCACACTGGGATAGTATATCCGGATATTGACCAGCAGGAACAAGCGATACTTGTGATCAGCTGACCGATGTTTGGGACTTCTGGTAGTCACGATTCCGGGGTCATTACACTAATGTTTTCAGCATCAGCCGTGCTGAAAATGCCGCGTATTTGCCCGGCAATTATTCTACTTTCCTCAAATAGGTTATCAGTTCTCCAACGGTGGGATGCCTTCTCGCGTAACACACCTGCAGTTAGTACAGAGGTGATGATCGACTTACCATCATAACATATTGTTTCATACTTTGTGCAGTTTAAGGCACCAACTGAATGATACAAAAAACAACAGCCGTTCGATCCACTTGTGGCCAGTCAATTTGTACTTGATGGTGTATGGTTGAGGCTTTATAAGCGATGTAGCAATCGAAAAAGTCGGAGATTATCCTTGGGCTGACAAATTGAACACATCATGCACAAATATATTGACTAAAAATTCACCAGTCTAACTCACAGGAAAACGATAAATACAGGCATTATGATATCATTTAGAAGCGATAAACCTGTGATATTTAAGACGTTTGAGCGTAACCCAACACACCCATCACTTGCAAGTTGCCCGCTTATATAATTCAGGTTCAGGCGGGTCCCAGAAAATTGAGAGAGGGAGCAATCAACTCTAATTTAAACCGAGAGAAATCCCCGCTTGTGTTTACAAACCGATGCCGAATCTTCTCTTCCATGCGAACCCTCCCCCGCAAAGCAACCTACTTAGTTGTTTAGAAGTGACGTATCCTAAAAGAAGCGTTAGCCTATCTTAACCGTTGCCCGGAAGTTCCACGACTCAAATTCACAGATGTCACATTGGTACGTTGATAGCTTGGTGGTGTTTTGAGAGGACTGTGTACTGGGGAATATACACAGTTAGTCAGAAAAGCGTATTACTCCACCATGTGTTTCCATTCTCACTAGAAATGATTTGAATTCTTACTGTTGTCAACAGTGCGTGGTAAATCACATTTGATCTAATGTAATATTGTTCTACTGAATTTGTTTCCTGTTGTCTACAATTAGCATCCGCTTTACAACTTTCGGTCCTGTTTTGTTTTCAATGAGAATCCAGTTGCTTTTGTGGAAAAATATTAACTCACGTAACTATTGAAACGTAGGTAGTGTTTGTATCGTCAGGGGTAGTCAAAGATCAACATACATACTCTGTTTTACGCGGAAGTGAGGATACATAACTCGTTTCATTTGTAATGGTGGTGATGTTTTGGAGAAACCAGGCTTCTGATTCACATAACATTTGTCTCAAAATCGTCTAGATGGGGCGTTATTGCAGGATCGGAAACTGGGAAGAAAGTGCCTTGGCTTTGATAGAACTCCCTGCTGCAGTGCTTCCGGTGTACGGTTGCTTGCTCTGACTCGTGTAATCTGTTTGCCTTCATACTGAATGGATCGCAAGTCATTCCCCTCGTCTGCGCACCGACTTCCACAGTCACGCGGCATGCCGTTCTACTTCCTTGTATAGGGCCTACGACAGTTGTGAGGTATTTACGTCCAAGATAACAAAACAAGGTTTAGACAAACTTATTCTTTACGGGATCAAACCATACACCAATATACTACCAGGTTCGTGATAGTGAATATCCCCAAATTACCAAAAGAAAACAAACTCTCGCGAAGAATGAAGCGGATAGGTATTGCCGCGGTCACCAAAGCGCCACATATTTGGCTGATTGTGCTCAAGTACATTATGGACAGAGAACAGAGTCTTACGACTTGCCTTGAAATTGGTATTGTGTTGAGTAGTGTGTTTAATTCCATTATTCTAAATGTCTTCTCCTCCCGTCACACCTGCCTCCTTCGTGGGACCGAATTGGACGCCATGATAATAAAGTATAAGTTACTTGGAATCTTGAATTTCCGAAGCTAAAAGTCAAAAGCATGTTGACAGAGTGGAATACCTCTGTTTGCTGTGGCCTGCTGCTCAAAGTACACACACCAATGCATATCTGAACCTGCTGAGACCAGTCTTGAGACCGCGGATCTGGCTGCCTCTCCCGGTGCCAACTTCCCTAAACCCGATATGATTAATTTCATTTGCACCAGTCCTGTCTTGCGGCTGGATAATTAAAGTGATAGATTTGGTTGTTGTTCACACTAGCGTGGAATCTCAACATCACCCCAACTTTGTGCTACAGACTACTACAAATATGACATTCCTTCGGATGACAGTATGCTCGATATGTGATCATCATTCGCGCCATATTCTGGCGTTCACCGATAACTGTTCCGAGATGAAGTCGCGCGGAAATACCTAAAGATCCACGTCTTAAAAGGACAACAATTTTTTGGGTCACATGCTCAGTAGAGATCTGGCGAGAAGCGAATCACAGAAACAGTTTCTATCTGACGACATGTTGACTTCGAATGAGTAGAGAACTGATCCATAAATATCTAACATGTAACGTAATGTTTCTTGAACCTAAGCTAACAATGTGGTTCTTTCCGATATTCAGGTACCACCTGCGACAAACTGCAGGAAATTCATTCATATTCGTCATTGTTTTATTTCCATTAACCATGGGCTTCAAAAAAATTGAAAACCCCTGACAATCTAGCTATCGTTATTAGTGTTGTGATCTTTTCTTCTGTTCGGTATTTCCACGTGTCATCACAGCGGATGGCATGCAATCCGATCTCGTGAATAAAAGTAAAAATATTGACTCGTCACGTGATCACCATGCGCAGACTCGTCACTCATCTCCCAGCTAACCCAATCGCGCAGTAAGCTGTGTGAGTCCGTAAAAACAGTGCTGACTCAGATCGTATGGCTTCTGGTATTTTCAGGTTTATAGCATAGTATGCAAAGACATTGTTATGAGTTTATATTGAAGTTCCTCATTCTACCGATCCCCCAAGGTTCCTTCTACATTCAACACATACTGACTGATGTATGATTGCTGCGTTCTCCGGTTGGGGATTAAAAACTCCGCACAATCAGATTTTCGGTGTCCCGAAAGATTCAGGCAAGACGAGATCAAGAACAGAGAACATGTGCCTTCATGCATGTTCTCTATATGCATTAGTTTCCGGTCTACTCATCTACTATCAAGTTGGCAGTCTTTCTCGATTTTGGCGATTTTAGCCTGTTTGAGAATGGAATGGCTCCGTCGTAGTGTATGCCATTTAGTTGTAGAAAAGCCTACTGTGGGAGACAAGTGTAAAATGGTGTTTTAAACATAGTAGTCTGATGTCACTGAGAGTTTTGTAGATAGTTGTCCTTTGATAGTGGCAATGGGCTGACTGAACAGGTCTGTAGACGGCACTCCGTATCACCAAAGTAGATTAAATTACACCTAACTCAATTTCAATCTGAACGGGTGTTATTTTGATATTTCTGCTTTGTGGCAGTATGTTTCTTGGGCCTAATAAAGCCACGGTTTCAAGAAAATTTTCTCGAGTGGTTTGACGCTTATGACTGAGAAAGCATAACCTTGAAAAACCTCAGCAAATTAATTCTATTGACGCACGATTTCCCAAAGTAGTAAAGCAAAACGTGATTTAAATCCATGCAAGGTTTATCGCAGTTACTGTGACCAAAACCAACCTAGAGACGTTCATTGTAGCTAGTTATTTTACGCATCATGCTTCGATCTCATTTCACGGAATTGTTCGATTGGCATGCGTACTTCTCTCATCTTATCCCTGAATCTGACGCTAGTATACAGAGTCGGATTATCTGTCCATACATTGTACTTGTGGGCGAGATGGCTCAAGTGACTGGAGCGCGAATCTACTAATTGGAAGGTTCGTGGTTGGCACCCGACCTCTGCCTCTCGACTTTCCCTGTCTAGGCTTGGGCAACCTGGCAATATCCCAGCCCTCGTGCTTCTATCGGGTAGCATGGCAGCTAGGCAGCGGAAGAGTGCTACAGCTGACCGCTTATATTGTACTTGTGAATAGAAATCTAAATAAGTATGCCTAGCAAGTACATTTCATTACATAGTCACTCTGTTACAGTCATAGACCCAAAGCGGCAATAAAATACGGACAAAATGAGAACAGGGCAGCTTACTGAGACTCTTGCCCCGGAGGTCCTGAAGGGATGGGCGGTATGTGATGAAAAAAAAACACAGTGGTACAGTTACAGAACTTGGCCTTTCATGGATATAAATACCAACTCAATACTGGGAACTAGTGATTTCGTGAGAGTCGCTAGAAAATTTGGACTTGATAAGATAATTATAAGACTC